CAAAATATGTTCTGCACTTGACAGAGTGGGAATGTGAACACTTAAAATTATTGTCTACAATACAGGAACAACATAATCATGCTAAAGGGGGTGGGGGGGGGGGGTGAGAGTATAGGTGCCCATTCATCTCGTTTGTAATCTTTGCAGGAAAGTATATTATAAATTTGTCTTTCAAATGACCTAAAAATGAATAAGAAATAAAATTCAAATGAATAAACCAATACATTAAAAAAAGGGGGGGGGGTAAATCTAGATAAGACATATTTTCTACTTTATTTTCTTACATTAGTCCAGTTAGTTCTTTCTTTCTGACTGAGTTAAATAGCTGGACATTAGTAATAGAAATAGAGACCAAAAGCAATACAACTTCGAAAGATATAAAATCAGGGGAAAGGGGGGGGGGGGGGGTAAGGCACGATTAATTTGAAGGGTTACCAGATTTACTTTAATGCAGCATAAATCTACAGTGGGTTGGAAATGAGAGAGAATGATGTTCACGATGGATGGGTTGCTGAGGGTTTTGAGTAGGCTAGGAGTCCATGGTGGGTGGTTAAATTGAAGTTGCCTACCCCCACCAGGTGGCGGTGGGCACCTACGGTGCCCATGTGGCGAAATCGTCACCTTCAATTTAACCATTGAACTGTTGATTTTGTTGACTTTGTGTGGTTGATGTTGATATATGTGATGGTTGATGTTGATATATGTGATGTTGACTTTGAAAATTATATCTTATATAATGTAAATCTAAAGCAAAATAATATAATTAAAAGACAATTTGTGTTAAATGTGTCCGTAGCACGATTGAGGTCAACCCAGCGTGCTACTTTTCCCGTCAGGGAGGGCACAACTTATGTCGATGTTGGGGGTATGCCATTTTGTCGGCTGCCCCACTGTTGTGTAGACCACTGTGGACAATACCTGCCAACTCGAATAAAACATTAAACTTGTCCTGCCAACTCGAATAAAACATTAAACTTAAATACTTAGCATTTGTTTATTATATATAGGTCTTTGATAATACCGCATATTTGAGTTCATCTCACAATATGCGTCGTTATCAAAGCTCTATCCTTTAATTATATGTCATCATTCACCTCCTTTTTGTGAAAAATCGAATAAATGAGATAAACCGGAATTTATTTATCCATCCATACAGTGTCAGTACGTAGTCACTAGGTTTTCGGGTTATCTCCCCTTTTCTATGCATCAATGAAAGTGAAAGGTGGGTGATGAAAGTATCCGATTTATTTTTCTGTATTATGAAATACCCTCCCACCTCAACCCTTGAGCTAGGTGTTAAGTATATACTCTTTCTCCTTTTGTTTGTTTAAATTACGTTTACATTGTTTTACATGGGTTAGGTATAGCCAATTTATTAAAGTTATGGAAATGTTATTGAGAATCTTTTTCTGCTGTGGGGTTTTGTTTTTGTCTTTTCAGGTATTAGAGATTTCGTTGAAGGAGACTAACGATGCTGATCAGAATTGCCTGCTATTTCCGTATTCTAGGACCTTTGGAATAATCTTTGACCGAATACCTGCGTGACGGGTGTCAACTTGGCGAATTATCCATGATTTTAAGGAGTTCGGGGAAAGACAGTAGACTATACTTCACAGTGGTCGTATTGGCGAAATCGTCACCTTCAATTTAACCATTGAACTGTTGATTTTGTTGATTTTTTGTGGTTGATGTTGATATATGTGATGGTTGATGTTGATATATGTGATGTTGACTTTGAAAATCATATCTTATATAATGTAAATCTAAAGCAAAATAATATAATTAAAAGACAATTTGTGTTAAATGTGTCCGTAGCACGATTGAGGTCAACCCAGCGTGCTACTTTTCCCGTCAGGGAGGGCAAAACTTATGTCGATGTTGGGGGTATGCCATTTTGCCGGCTGCCCCACTGTTGTGTAGACCACTGTGGACAAGGATAAATTCTGTACTCAGTCTTTGATAATTATTACAAACGATCATAAACGATCACATTTTTATTTTTAAAAAAATAATGCGACCCTGAAAATAGTAAAATTAGTTTTAAAAAATTGGAAAAAAATTTAATCGGCATCTTGATCCTCTTCTAAAAATCAACCGATATAATATATGCGCAGAAGAAAGAGGCATGAAAAATCTTGGCAATTAGCAAAAATTGCAAATTATATATAATAAGTTATTATTTTTGAAAGTTCGTTAAATTCCTATGGAAGGTATAAGCTGTAAAAATACTTTTTAAATTTAAAAATGTCTAATTTGTTAATTTTCATTTTTAGACTTTGAGAAGAAATAAGAATTAAAATCCAGATGTTTACAGGCATATTGATAGAAAATCGCATACTTGTTTTTAGTAAAAAAAAAAAATATATACAATGTATTGCTTATCCGACATATTGAAGAAAGTGACAATGATACCTAGGTAATTCTTGCAATGGACAATTAAATTGTTTGTTATACACTGACTCTAGTGTACGTTTGAATTTTTAAAATACTAGTATTGATGGATAAAACAACAACTTTACTTTTCACACGTTTTATTTGATATCAATATTGCATGAAAAGTATATGCCAAATACTCAGTATATGTCCCCTTACATATCTTGCAAGACTCTTTTTAAATAATTGTCATATACCATTTACTTATTCGAACATTTAATTGTATGAAAAGTCAATACTTTATTATCTTGTTTACTTGTCTTTCTTCCTGTGAGAGAAATAGTTCATAATATTAATAAACGGAAGTACTCAGTATCTGTATCAAAATACAAAATAAACAGTGATCGGTCTCAAAAGGAAAACAAACCCTTGAAAGTTCCGGTGCCTAGGAGAAGTAAGCACCCCCGTTGACAGGTCACATCTGCTGACCCGCAGTGAGCCTACGCAACTGAAGCTCTCTGAAATTAATTAATTTACAAATTCTCTGCTCATCAATCCGCTTTTTTCTCAGATTAGCCAGCTAAAGATCTATGTACAGTACTCCAAATCAATTAATCTAAAGAGTTGTTTGCTACAGTAGCCTTTACAGTTACCTAATTTTAGAATCAATAGAGCATGAAAGACAATTAAATTTGCAACATCAACGTAATTCTTTTTTTTCGTCCTGAGCACTTTTGGACGCCACCAAGGGAGACAATTAGGGAGATTTTTTTTAAAATGAACTTCCTGTCTTTCAAACTGAAAATCTCATGTTGATATGTTGAAAGATGCATTTGTGACATCAGTCTGGGATGTCATTGGTTTTACTATTTAGTAAAGTACTACAAAATTCAGTGTGTCTGCTTCTTCGCTGATGACATTGGACAAAGATATGCATGCTTACCTTAATATCATCATTCAATGCATTTTTTGTTGTTGTACATATTCGATGAAAGCATTCTAACTGCTTTTCAGTACTTTCAGTACTTTGATTCTCTTTATATTATCAACACTCTAAGATTTATGGGTACACAGACAGGACGCTAGGTTAAGTTCGGGGGAATTCAGTGATACGATACGCAAGGTCTTGACCTTCTAGCGATTTATGAGCTCTATTGGAATGTCATTAATTTTATACAAGCAGAAACAGCCATCATCGTTATGTCCAGGCTTACAGGCTCCAACGATGATGCTGTAGGGATATGACACAGCAACAATTTTCCGTAAACAAAATTGAACAGTTCATGAATCGTTTACAGAATGCATCTGTACATCACACTTGTTGATTGTCGAAACAAAACCTGGTCTATCAGACGCGTGCGCTAATGATTTATGGGTTCAGGCCCTTACCGTGCATATCTATAAATTTCGTATTTTAGTTTCAGTTTTCTACTTGAAAAACGAAATTAATATATAAAGAAAAACGAAATTGTTCAAAAAAGAAAAACGAAATTATTAAGTAAAAAAAACGAAATTAATATATAGAGAAAAACGAAATTGATATATTAAGAAAAATGAAATTATTAAATAAAGAAAAACAAAATGTTTTAGTTAATAATTTCGTTTTTCTTTATTTAATAGTTTCGTTTTACTTTATATATTAATTTCATTTTTTTTCTTTATTTAATAAATTCGTTTCTCTTTATTTAATAATTTCGTTTTTATTTATATATTAATTTCGTTTTTCTTCATAAATCATTTTCGTTTTTCTTTATTTAATAATTTCGTTTTTCTTTATCTAAATAATTTTGTTTTTCTTTATTTATTTTTTGTTTGCACTATTGGGCTTCCGTAATTAACAATGGTAATTTCCAATTTTATGTCGATACGATATATCCTAGTGAGCTTGAGATCAAAGATACTACAGGATCGACACATCTGTTTCATATTTGGTGTAGTGTTACACAATTTATACCTCGTAAGAGTTATCTTTCTTTTTACATTGTGATCATTATTCCGGGTATGTAACCCTTTACGGTTTGTTTTTTAGAATATTTTATGTTGTTCCTACATGAGGCTAGGAGGCCATTTTCGCTTGTTCCAAGCATTGTTGTAACCTATTTTTCACTTTTACGGGTACATCCCTGCACCATAAGTAAGTTTTTATGTATTATCTAACATTATATTTTACGGTTTACTTTTGATCAGATAGGGAAATAGATTTCGATGTGTAGTAGAAAGTAAATGGTTAAGTAAAAATCTGCTATGTATGTAAACGCTATATTGTTTCTCAGTTTATGTGATAAATAACCTACATGTTACTAAGAACGCATTTTAATTTTTTATGATAGGCCAGTTTATGATTGAATTTAAATTGGAAAAATGTTCACTAAATTTGGATATCATTCTTGTTTGTCTATAATTTGTCACTTACAATGTAAAATAGGGTTAATTGGGTATCACTGATTTTGTATGAATCTGTTTGTAAGTTTTGTCTCTTTATTATTTTCAGTCTTTTACCATACACATACAAGCATTGATGCAATAAAGAGTGATCCGCCCTTATTGTTTTGGTTTGTTGGTTTGGTAAACACTCTGCACAGAGGCAGAACAGTAAAAGATTATGACCAGGGACAACCTGTAGGACGATGGCAACAGGGGAAGGGGAGAAACAACAGGTCAAAGACGAACAGGATGATAAACAATCCAGGATTCGGACTCTTACAGAGAAGGGTCAGGCATCCTTTGACCAAACGTTCCTTGATCTACAAGAAAAGTGCACAAGCGCGTGGAGGGAGGTAGAGGACCTCATTGCAAATTGTGATGGTGACAATACAGACAGGAAATACCTAAGGACAACAGAAGACCAGATAAATGCAAAATTCAAACAGTACCTTAAAGAAAGTCAAGCCCTAGCAAACTTCCTTGAAAGGGCTCGCACAGAACAAGCTCTACAGAAACTGGAGCAGCATGAGTCTCAGTATAGTACATATTCCGATATAGTGTTCACATTTCGAGATGTCCTACATAATAAACTATTAGAGGCAGCCGAACAACTCTCGGAAAAGTTCGAAGTGAAATCCAGGACTTCATCACAAGCCTCAAAGACAATATCAGAGATATTCAAAAAACGAGTGAAAGCGGAGACCCAGCAAACAAGACTTAAATTCTTGGAAGAGCAGGCGGCTCTGGAAAAACAAAAGGCAGCTACTGATATTGATATATGGCTTTCTAAGGAAAAAGAAGCAGCAGCTGTGGCAAATGCAGAAGTGAACGCCATGGAAAATTACGATCGTGGATCTCAAGGAAGTTTTCAATTTGACATTGAAGAACAAAGTGTGGAACAGACGGCCAGAGAAAGAACTGAAGCTTATGTGAACTCGCAGGCCAGCAACCACTCAGAAATCACACCTAACTATGTTCGACATGATGATGCCTCACATCGCTCGAGACCTGCAAGCATCAGTCAAGCAGGATTTCATTTTCCGACTGCCAGTCATGTTCAACCTCATGAACAGTCACCTATAGTTGACCTCAGTAACTACCTTTTGAAAAAGGATTTACTATTACATCGTTTCTCTGCATTTGATGACTCGGCGCAAAACTATACAGTGTGGAAAGTTGGTTTCCTGAATATTCTGAAGGAATTGAAAGCATCACCAATCGAAGAACTTGATTTATTGACAAAATGGCTGGGCCCCAATTCAAAAAGATACGCTCTATCCATACGTTCAGCAAATACTCACCAACCTGAGAGGGGTCTATCCCTGATATGGGCACGATTAGAAGACCTCTATGGAAAACCAGAAATGGTGGAGGCAGCGTTGAAGTCAAAGCTCAAGGACTTTCCAAAAATTACAGAGATGGATCCGAAGCGTTATTATGATCTACTTGACTTGCTGTATGAGATTGAGTCCAACAAGCAGGACCCAAAATATTCCAGACTACTTGGATACTATGACACTTCCTCAGGCATATTGCCTATTGTTAGTAAACTCACCTATCAAGTACAAGATAAATGGGCCACCCGTGCATCTCAGTATAAACGTTTGAATCATGTTCCATTTCCACCATTTAGCATATTTGTCAGTTTCATACAGGAGATATGTGAATTGAAAAATGATCCAGGTCTTATTTCTAATACGAGGTATCCATCCGACAAGAAGAGAGAACCTACAAACAAAGTCTTTGTTCGGAAGTCAGACGTTGGTTCCGAAACACCAACATCCTCTATGCGGTGCCCTATACACAAGGCTGACCATTCCTTGGAACAATGCCGTGCCTTTCTGGCAATGACATTCCCAAATAAACGCGACTTTCTGAAAAGTAGGGAACTCTGTTTCCGTTGCTGCAAGGGAAAGCATAGGGCCAACAAGTGCAAACTTAAAGTGAGTTGTGACGTTTGTAAAAGCGATCGCCATGTTACGTGTATGCACTTTCACAGAGACTCTGGGCAAGAGAATGGCGGGGAGAGTTCATCTAAGGAATCACCATCTGGGAAGGGAGATGAAAACATTATCACGTCCTCTTGTACCCAATTGTGTGGGAAGGATAGAGTTGGCCGATCTTGTGGGAAAATTGTCCTTGTGAACGTATACCCATCTAACAGACCTGATCTTACCTTTAGAACTTATGCTATGATAGACGATCAGAGCAATAGAACTTTAGCTCGTTCCAAGTTTTTCGATTACTTTGGTTTAGAGGGCAATGACTGTGTTTTCACGTTGAATTCCTGTGGTGGAAGTGTTACATTTTCCGGAAGAACAGCAGAGGGATTCGTCATCGAGCCAGTGTCAGCTGAACAAAAGTTGTACTTACCTAAAATTATAGAATGTGACGAGATTCCCAACAATCGTAAGGAAATACCGACTCCTGAAGTGGCGTCTGCATATCAACACCTGTTGGATATTGCACCATTAATTCCTGATTTGGATCATACAGCCGAGATTCTGCTTCTCATAGGAAGGGATTTGATCCAAGCACATCACGTGATCGAACAAAAACTTGGGCCCCCAGACTTGCCGTTTGCGCAAAAACTCTACTTGGGGTGGACTATTATCGGCGAAGTGTGTTTGGGTAGTGCTCATAGGCCTAATTCCATTGTAGTGAATAAGACTCATGTGTTGGACAATGGGCGTAGTACCCTACTTGAGCCTTGTGATTCCAAGTTACTTATTTCACAAGAAAAACATCAACATGGCGTCGGTTCTTGTACAGGGATATTCTGTACTACAGTGAATGATGAGACTCCTGGAATGTCGACTGAGGACCGCCAGTTTCTGGAAATAATGGACAGGGAGTTTCACAGAGATTCCTACGGAAAATGGACAGCCCCATTACCCTTCCAACATGATAGGCCTGTGTTACCAAATAATTACACCCAAGCAATGAGACGGGCTATGATCTTAGATGCTTCGTTGAGAAAAAATCCCACCAAACTTGGACATGCCTTAGAATTCATGAGGAACATTTTTGACAGAAATCATGCAGAGGTAGCCCCACCTCTGAAACCAAACGAAGAATGTTGGTACCTACCAATTTTCGGGGTGTACCACCCACTCAAGCCGGAGAAGATTCGCATGGTGTTCGACTCTTCAGCTCGCTTCCAGGACTTGTCTCTGAACAGCGTACTTTTGTCAGGTCCAGACCTTACAAATAGTCTCATTGGAGTGTTGATGCGTTTTAGGATGGAAGCCGTAGCTGTGACCGCAGATATAGAGCAAATGTTCCACTGCTTTGGTGTCTCAGAGAAACATAGGAACTTCTTAAGATTTTTATGGTACACAGACAACGACCCTACCAAGCCTCTAACCGAGTACCGCATGACAGTCCAGGTTTTTGGAAACACCCCATCACCTGCTGTAGCAACCTATGGGTTTCGTCTTGCTGCCATTCAAGCAGAACACAGCTTTGGGAAGGACGTAAGAGAGTTTGTGGAGCGGAACTTTTACGTGGATGATGGTCTGGTGTCCCTACCAACAACACAAGAAGCCATAGATCTCCTACGACGAACTCAACAGGCCTTACTGACCCATGGGAACCTCAGATTACATAAGATTGCGTCTAATGACCCTAGAGTGATGCAGAGCTTTGATGTAAAAGATCTAGCAAAGGACTTGATTGACTTAGATATTACACATGATGATCTTCCAACCCAGAGGAGTCTAGGACTCGTGTGGGATCTTCAGAGGGATGCCTTCGGGTTTAAACTTACCAGGAAGGAGAAACCGTACACTAAAAGAGGAGTTTTGTCCTGTGTTAATAGCCTGTACGACCCTCTAGGCTTCATAGCGCCTATCACTATTCAGGGAAAGCTACTTCTTCGAGAAATGACACAGGCACCTTCTGTAGACTGGGATGCTCCCTTACCAGAAGAATTCCAGAGCAGATGGGATGATTGGACCCAATCATTGACTCGTCTTGGAGCATTGAATGTACCTCGTAAGTACCTACCCATTGGCTTCTCACAGCTTCAAGAGAAGAATGTACTGATTTTCACAGATGCCTCGGAGGTTGCTATTGCTTCTGTGGCCTACCTGTTTCACAGTCATGGTGGAGACATCAATCTGGGTTTCATTATGGGTAAATCTAAAGTCGCACCCAGACCAGCCACTTCTATACCACGCTTAGAGTTGTGCGCGGCCGTCCTGGGAGTAGAAATTGCTACTATTATAAGGGATCAGCTAGACATCAATGCAGATCATTTCAAATTCTACACAGACAGCAGGATCGTTCTGGGTTATGTGTACAATCGCACAAAGAGATTTTTAACCTATGTAAGCAACAGAGTTCAAAGAATTCTAAGCTTCTCCAAATCATCTCAATGGAACTACATCCCTACGGACCAGAACCCAGCAGACCATGGCACTAAATCTACTATCGACAGTGCACTGTATGACTCATGGCTCAGTGGACCAATAGAATGGCTACGCCTAGAAGATACTGTAGATGGTCCTGCCCCAACATATGATTTGGTAGATCCAACTATGGATAAGGAAATCAAACAGGACACTGTGGTTTGCAAGGTGGATGTGTCTACCCCCTTATCCTGGACTTCACGATTTGAGAGGTTTTCTTCATGGAAGAATCTTGTTAGAGCCATCATGTGCCTGAAACGGATTGTCCATGCAGTGGCACACCACAGGAAGGATATTAAAGCTACAGAAGATAGCAGTGCATTTAGGAAGGCAGAGGAGCTTATAATACATCACGTCCAGTTAGAAGTCTACGAGAAGGAAATTACTGCACTTAAGAATGAAAGGCCCCTTCCTAGAAACAGTCCCATTTTGAGACTTAACCCATCATTAGAGAAAGAAGGCATGGTGCGGGTTGGAGGCCGATTACAACATGGTGACTTTGATTTGGGGGAAAGGAGTCCCATACTTGTGCCAGGGAGTCATCATATTGCTAAGCTATTAGCTCTACATTTCCATGAGTTAACGCACCATCAAGGGCGCCATATAACAGAGGGAGCAATCCGCAATGCAGGTCTATGGATAACTGGTGCCAAACGTATTGTGACTTCACTGATTTACAAGTGTGTGATTTGTTGCAGAGGGCGTGGGAAACTTCTTACTCAGAAGATGGCGGACCTACCTGCGATAAGGTTGAAACCCTCACCCCCATTCACTTACGTTGGAGTGGACTGTTTCGGGCCATGGAGTGTGACAACTAGGCGTACTCGTGGTGGGAGTGCTGACTCTAAGAGATGGGCAGCTTTATTTACCTGTATGTGCTGTAGGGCTGTGCACATTGAAGTATTAGAACAGATGAATACACCTTCCTTTGTGAATGCTCTACGTCGATTCTATGCCATAAGAGGAGATGTCAAGGAGTTTTACTCAGATAGAGGCACAAATTTTGTTGGCAGTGTGCGTGAATTAGGTATTAACTCGGTGAATGTTGAGGACGCACCCATACATAACCTACTCACAGATAAAGGAACAGTTTGGAGGTTTAATCCCCCTCATTCCTCACATATGGGAGGAACTTGGGAGCGTCTCATAGGGGTCACGCGCCGTATCCTTGATGCCATCTTACAAGAGAATCGTCACGTCAAACTAACCCACGAAGTACTCACCACGTTTCTTGCAGAGGTCTCGGCAATTGTCAACAACAGACCAATCGTTCCTATTGCAACTGATACGGAGTCGCCTCAGGTACTTACACCCAGTGTTCTACTTACCCAAAAAATGGGGAATGTCTCTGAAAGTCATATGAACTTTGATGTTCGCGACATGTACACCTCTCAGTGGAAGATAGTCCAAATTCTTGCCAACAGATTTTGGGACAGATGGCGCAAGGAGTACCTCCAGTCGCTACAAGAACGCAGAAAGTGGGCCGATACCAAACCAAATGTTCAAGAAGGAGATATTGTCCTTATGAAGGAGGCGGAACAGCATCGGAACTTCTGGCCTCTCTGTCGTGTTACTCGTGTGTTCCCTAGCGAGGATCATCTCGTGAGAAAGGTCGAACTTATGACATTCAAAGATGGAGCAAAGAGAACATATGTGCGACCAATTACCCAGATTGTGCTTTTGCTGTCAAATCACAACTAACTGTTTTGTGAAAAGTTGAATGACTAGTTTATGTATGGAGTTAAAGTAACTACATTTTGTGCATTGTAGGTATCCTCAGTTAAGGATAATATATACATTTGTTTTGCTTGTAAGGGTGTGATATTTCATATCAGGCGGGGAGTGTAGTGTTACACAATTTATACCTCGTAAGAGTTATCTTTCTTTTTACATTGTGATCATTATTCCGGGTATGTAACCCTTTACGGTTTGTTTTTTAGAATATTTTATGTTGTTCCTACATGAGGCTAGGAGGCCATTTTCGCTTGTTCCAAGCATTGTTGTAACCTATTTTTCACTTTTACGGGTACATCCCTGCACCATAAGTAAGTTTTTATGTATTATCTAACATTATATTTTACGGTTTACTTTTGATCAGATAGGGAAATAGATTTCGATGTGTAGTAGAAAGTAAATGGTTAAGTAAAAATCTACTATGTATGTAAACGCTATATTGTTTCTCAGTTTATGTGATAAATAACCTACATGTTACTAAGAACGCATTTTAATTTTTTATGATAGGCCAGTTTATGATTGAATTTAAATTGGAAAAATGTTCACTAAATTTGGATATCATTCTTGTTTGTCTATAATTTGTCACTTACAATGTAAAATAGGGTTAATTGGGTATCACTGATTTTGTATGAATCTGTTTGTAAGTTTTGTCTCTTTATTATTTTCAGTCTTTTACCATACACATACAAGCATTGATGCAATAAAGAGTGATCCGCCCTTATTGTTTTGGTTTGTTGGTTTGGTAAACACTCTGCACAGAGGCAGAACATTTGGATATTTTACTTGAAAAAGACGTTAAAGGTAATCTAACAACAAAGCTCTATATATGATAAACGTGATGACTTTAACTTTTCTATCGTAAACTTCCCTTACCTATGCAGCAATATACCTTCATCACCTGCATACGGAGTTTATATATTTCAGTTGATTCGATATGCAAGAGCATGCTCTACGTATGAACTGAATTGACGACGGATTTTGCCGTAATTTCCCGATCATGACAAGGAGCACACTGTGGGTGTGACCGGTTGGCAGGGGATGCTCACTCCTCCATGGCACCTGATCCCACCTCTGATGTTTCAGAGGTCCGCTGCTCTGCTCCTATTTTGTTTTGTTTTATTGGAGTGATTGGACATTTGATCTTGAATACTGTTTGTTATCTCCATATGTTTCATGCACTCGCAAGCTTGTTCATTTGTATAGCCACTCCTGCCAATATTCAGCAACATAAGTTCAGGAATTAACCCTATATTATTATTTATTTTGAAAATTAAAACAGGGACGGCAGAATATTAAAACAGTTGCATGTATTTTGCTGTATAATACACATAATAGATAATCATAAAAAAGAAATATAAAAAGAATGTCAATCAATTCATTTACATCTACAAAAAACGAAACGCATAGAATTTGTTGCATTCTTTTTTACAATTCAATGTTAAATAATGTACACCTTTGATTGTTTAATAATTGAGAAAAAAGAGAAAAAAATATAACATAAAAAGGGTTTAACTTTAACTTCTCTAATATGTCTTGGAAATAGTGTTGTTTTTCATAAGTATGATTTTGTAGGGCGTGGTGATGCAATAAGGACACTTATGGTTGACAATAATTTGGATTATGAAGAAATTGATGTTTGGACATTTGACAGCTGGGTGAAGGAATGGAAACCAAAAATGGTTAGTCTTAGTCTCTTTGAACACGTAATTTAGTTTTTCCTATGCTTTTACATCAATTGCTTTGCAATGTTTGTTTTTTTTTTGTAGTTGAAATACATTGTACCAAGAAATAAACTATTTTCATTTATAACAAGATAATTTTAGAGCTAGGCATCATTTCTATGTTTTCTGAATTAGTGGAGTCCAGCCCAGATAAAGAATTCACAAACTGTGTTTGAATGTTTAAAGAAGTAAATAACTTTTTCCTACAAAGAACAGTTAATGAAAAATTGTGAAAAAATAGTGAAGAGTGTAAAACATGCATTTTACTTAGTCTAGATATAGAAATATAAAATTGAACACTTGCGAAAAAATTGCACACACCGTAAAAGCATGAACATTTGTGATGACTGGGTTAAATGGCATAATTCAATCTTCTAGGCATTTGGTCAGTGTCCTTTTTTGAAAGATGGAGAGGTAGAAATTGTACAGTCCAATGCAATTCTCAGATATCTGGGTAGAAAACTGGGTAAGATTCATCTAGTCTTGTCTATTATCATGTGCAAACACGGAATATAAAGAAATGTGAAACGTAAAATGATTTTTAGATTTTTTAATATTCTATAAAGAAGTTTCCAACCGTCTTAATAGAATTCTAGAATGTGCGTGGCATATCACTCCTTTACACATTTTCATTATGGTGATAACTCTGAGATTGGTTTTATACTAAAACGTTCTGTTATTGATAAGAATTCTATGAATTAAAGTTTAAGGTCTTATAGTACGTTTTTTTAAATATATAACATACATTAGATGAAAACTACATCCCCTGAATGAATGTAACTTCATTTTTTATGTAAAGACATTTGTATGTCATGCAAAATATAAAAGAATTAGATTGAATTCCAAGTGTATCATTATACTCGTTTAACTACATGTATTTTGTTTTTATAATCCCCTTTAGATTTGTATGGTTCTAACAACAAGGAAGCAACAAGAGCGGATATGATCAATGATGGAGTGGAAGATCTTAGAATAGAATACACAAGGATGATTTATCAAAACTATGCAAGTATTCATGGTTCTTAGTCAACCTTAAATGTTGGGTAAAGAGAAGCGAGTCGAACACACTCGGTTAAGAGTATTTAGTGTAACAATAACAGTGCTAGATTCTACATTTACAATAACAACTGTCATGAATAAAGTCATTATCAATTTTAAATTTAGTTCAAATCATTTCATTGATTCCATTTTCTGAAAATACTTTTTATATGTACCAAGTGTGCTTGATTTTCTACCTCTACACAACATTGAACTTGACTAAAAACGTTGATGCGTTATTTTTATCTTAATTACATTCTAAATAGATAATTCTTGATTATGGCGTTAATTCATTTCGTGAAGACACCAAAGATTTTCTAGTTTTCTTAAATGCTCAAGATAAACTTACGTTCGAGAACGTGAAAGTATGTTTAACAATTTAAGACACTAAAAGTCGTTATTTAAAAAAAGAAATTAGCTATAATGATTATCTAGATATACATCGTTTACCTGGAGTTTCTTGCAGCACGTATGACAAAGTTGAAAAACTGATTTATGGTGGGGTTTTTTTCGTTTTGGAAAAATATTCACTTTACATTCGAGTCTATGCTCCTTAAATAAAAAAAAAATAAGGTGAAATTTGTCTAAATTTTAATTTTACAAAAAACATAAACACATAATAAAAAAATCAGTTAAAACTCGTTTTTTGTATCATATGACATTAAATATGTCTGGAAAATTATCAATACCTGACAAAGTTACTTGGTTACTTAAAATGATGATTATTATAAATAAATTGGTTTCATTTACATGTATGTACATAAGTGTGTTTCGTAAGCCTAATGAATTTGACTGCAATATAAGAACACAATACAAGCTTCTTTTTATTAAACTGTCTTATAATGGTGTCCTTCTGGTCATGATGATAATTACGTACTATGCACTACTTTTCTACTTCAGGAGAACGGAAAGGGTCCATTTATTGAGGGACTTCCAGGAAAACTGCAATGTTTTGAGGTTTGTACACATACAAGCTTATGTAAGAGCTATTTTATTCTAAGACTAAAACAAGTTTTGCAACATGTCTGTTAAGTAATTTGTTATTTTTCTCTTTGATAACAATAATTTTTAACATTTTTTGAAAGTGAATTCTTGAGAAATTTCATACTTATTAGTTATATAAATATTTTAGCCCACCTTAAATATAAAAAAAGTGGTTAAGCAATGTACTGTTTTATTTAAACACATATTTGTAAGAAAAAGATTCAATTTTGTTTCGTAGAACTTGATGAAAAGTGGAGATTATGTACTTGGAAGCAAGGTTTCCTTTTAAAATTATGTCTTGAAGATTCCAATAAATTTTAAAGATTTCAAATTTTCTTACTAAAAATTCAATCTTTTGTATGTATAGGAGATCAAGGGGTCAACAGAATTTACAGCAAAACAAATGGTTAGTCAATTATTTCAATGAGTTATGAGACGGTACAGTAAAACTCGTTTAGTACGAACACGGATATTGCAAATTCACGGATATATCGCAGGTATCTTGTATTCCCAACTATATGAATTTATTGAATTCCTTATAAGGATATAACGAATTAAGGATATAGAGAAGTAAATTCATAGGTCCCTATGATTTCATTATAACCGAGTTTTACTTTAATAATATTTCGAAGAAAATGAGTTTGATTTGATTTTCAGATCTGCTTTACGGACTATAATCTGTTTGATCTCCTGGAATGCCTGGTCACTCTGTCTCCTGCCTGTCTTGATAAATTTCCAACAATTAAGGCCTACCATAATTGTATGATGAACAGGCCAGGTATTCAGAGAAGGGCAACTGAACACTTCAAGGGACTTAAGATTAACTATAACGGGAAAGAATGAGGAAACCTGAAATGAAAGTTGTTTATGTAACATTAATGTCTGTATTTAATACTACTATCTTTTATAGTTGATGGAGAAAATTTTAGTAGACTTTTGTTTTAAAAATACATATTAATTGTAAATAAGGATATAAATAAATTATGAATTAAATATCCATTATTTTAAAATTATTTATTGTATCTTTATAAATAATAGAGTGTCTCTGGTAACAACGTATCCATCACCATACTATTGATCAGGTTAATGCAATTTATTCATTAAAAACAATTTAAAGAGAATCTTTATAAAAGTTTAAAATGCTAAGTAGAAGTTTTTTTTAAAATCTATATTGAAAAAGCAGCTGTCTACATGTACGATGTCAAAACGACTGGGGTTTGGTTTATCACTGGAAGTGTTGTTTTAAGTGTTGAAACACCTCTTCTCAGATGTATTTTTGTAAAATACTCTCGAGGTTTCTCCTTCACTTCTGTGTTACTATCTAAGTGAGGAGTAGAGAAAAAAGCCTGATAGAAAATTTACTGGAACCGGCTTTAATTGAAAAAATTTTTGTAGTGTAGGAAACAATTAAGAAACACTCATTAAAACTCTTAAAACAGTTATGATTGACCGTCATGTGATCCAAGAAAACATGAAACAGTACAAAAATAGACAAGAGAACCCTCTACCCAACTGTCTTTACTAAGAATTATATTTAAAATCTAACTGCCTATCCATTGTAATATTTTGTGCACGTTTCAAAGGTATTTGTTTGTGCTCCTCAAACATTGATGCATGCGACATTTGAAAAATGTTAATGTTTACAATATGATCGAATTTGAATAAAATTTAGTTATATTTTCCATTTGGTTGGCACATCTTGTCCAAAGATACTAAAAAAAAACAAATATGGAACACTTTTTGCAAACACAATGGTTTACTCTATCTCTAGTTTTGTTTAAAACAATGAATGGGCAAATACAGTGCAGGAAATTTTATGGCCATTAGCAGACATCCATTTCTTTTATGATCACTTTTTCTATTTAAGGAAGTACATTTTACAGAATTTTTTGATACGAATGTTTCAAAAATTGATGCTCAATTATGAGAAGATAATTGACCGTTAATTTTTGATTTCAGTAAGATAGTAAAAAGGAAATTAAAAGCGATATATATTATAAAGCGAGAATTTCCTCTAAACCGCATGAAAGTAATGGTATAAAGACCTTTTGTAAAAAACATTTGTCTGTCTGTCAGTATTCATTTGTCATTCCTCCTATAAAGTGATGAAAATTTAAGTATATTTTTTACAAACTTGACGATGAATCATCAGTATTCTTATATTTTTCCATCCGTGTGCTTTGTCTTTTTGTGCTAAGTCATCTACATGTACATTTAATTCTAGAGATAATTCACCAAGTTATTATAAGTAGTCTTATCCTGTTCCTTGCTTCATGTACAAATTTGTAAAATAAAGAGATAATCATCAGGGACTGTGAAGTGCCATTTCAGTGTTAAGTGATTCGAGAAAAAATATTTTGCATCAGTAAACCAAGAGAGTTCTTACTCAGCTTTCATTTGTAAAATTAAGTCTTAAACATTTTCTTCCATAAATCATCCATTTAAAAAAGTAGATACTCGTAGGACAAAAATGCGCATCAAAGTCCATCCATTCTTTAAACGCAGAATAGGAATTTCAATTCTAACTAGTGCTAATTGTAACGGGGACCGTTACAGATGTTCCCCAAACGCTCCCCATATCCCTTTTGGTGCCATATTCCATGTAAGCTTCATTAAATAAGACAAACCCTATGCATTTACCCAGAAGTGTACCAAATCCATTCAAATTTTAGCATTGCACGCATTCACATGTGAATGCATGTGCGTAATGACCATATCGTCTTATCTACACAATCTATATATTTTAATATACTAAATATTACATTATTTAATCCAAAACTATTAAAAAATACGCTCATTTAAGAGTATTTTTGATTTTACTCATTTCATGTGCACGCACGTGCATACATGAGCATGATGACCGTACCTTCTTATAGAAGTCCATTACATCTATCTATGTTCTAAATCCCACCCCGTTTGGTTGAGAACCAAGGGAGTTATAGCTGTTTAAATTTTCAGCCAATCATATATCAGCGCACGTGTATGCATGTGCATGGTGACAATACCTTTTTGTAGAAGTCCATTATATCTATCTATGTTCCAAATCCCATCCTATTTGGTTGAAAAGCAAGGGAGGTAAAGCTATTTAAAGTCTTAGCCAATCAGATTGCAGTGCACGTGGATGCACGTGTTTTCATGTTAGTTGCTATATATCATATTGTAGGATATTCTTCTGCATGACTATGTTCAAAATTTCAAAGAATTTCGTCAAAAAACAATAAAGATATTGAGACTTTAGTTTCAGCCAATCAGAGCGAAGGGCACGTGCATGAGCGTGAGATCTTGCTATTTTGACCATGTCATATTGTCTATAATTCTAATATATCTTTATATTATGAGTTTCAAAACATTTCATCAAATTAAAAAATAGAAAAGATTCGGATATATTTATTTTATTGGTTATTTCACGTGTTGCACGTGAACGCTCTTGCAAGCATGTGCACACAAAATGACCTTCGTTCCGCAAATCTACATAACATGCCTACTGACCCTTAAAAGGTTTCACCTAAGTCTGATCTGTAGTTTACAAGATCACTCGCGGAAAAGATTTTCCCAGGAAGAAGAAAAATAATAAGAAGAAGAAAACACAGAGTAAAAACAATATGTTCCCCAACTTCGTTTGGGGAACATAATAAACACGGAATAACTTATTATTGACATGGATGAAAGGAAAACAAGTAATGTTTTTTTGTCTCTTTATTATAATTATATTCAGCATGTGTGGATCTAGAGGGGAGTAGGTTAGGACCCCCCACCCACAGCACAAAGGAATTTCAAAAGTTATGGAATCTATATACAAATGACCTTGGACCTTCCTCTCGAAAACGCAGACCTTTCCTCGTAAATGCAGATCTTTGTGAAATATGTATGAAAAGTCATAGGTATGAAGTATGCCCTTCCCTCTCACGATTGCGAATGAGTTAAGTTTTTTATTTGTCGTGACATTTCTGGATTGAAAAAGTTGTTTTTACTGGCGTGGACCCCCCCCCCCCCCTTTGATAAAAATACTATATCTGCGCCTCTTCAGTGTTTTTCAACAAAACACATTTTAATTTTACTCATATCTCAAGCAAATATAAATCCTTTCCCATAAAGCTATGAAATGAAATGCAATTCAAACTTTTACAAAATGAAGTATTTACAATACTTGTACAAGATATCATAATTTAAGCTTCCTTGATGATTTTGTCATTCGTATAAAGACTTTTTTCGGTTAACTTACTCATTTCTAGTAACACATCACTTAGTATCCACTCTTAAAACAGAGAAGATACGGCAATTCTGTAGCCAAAACTAGGCCTATGGATAACAGAGTACGATATCTCGTGTGGTTTTCTTTGACTATTGTAATAAACGTTTTACAAATGGATGCAAGGGAGAATACTTCTTGTCGGTTTGGTAGCATTGAGTGTAATTGTTTCGCAAACGAAAATGGAATTTGTGTGGATTGTTCACGACGGAATCTTACTGCTATACCAGTTATGAATGACAGCGTCACGTGGTTAGACCTCAGTAACAACAGTATCAGGACTATTGAGTCAAAGAGTATAAAACTATCAGAAAAGATTATATCTCTCGACTTATCTGATAACAACTTAACGACTGTTGATGCAAATCCGTTCAAACGTCTAACAAGACTTCAGTTTCTGAACCTAGAAAGAAATCAGTTGAAATATTCAAAGTTCGAGAACCTTTTAAAATAAAGGTCTATTGGCGTTAGAAGTACTAAACATAAAAGGGAACTGTGGCAATCCAAATAACATAACATTTCCAGGAGATGTTTTTGGAAATATATCCTTTCTTTCAATAATAAAAATGAATGGGATAGCAAGCACAAAGTTTGGAAACAGTTTCTTGCGTTTAAAGAATCTTAAAGTTTTAGATATGTCGGGGAATATAGGAAAATGTATTCTTGGTTATATTGATTTGCAAATGTTTAAAAATGTTCCAATCCTTCAGGTTTTGGATATATCCTACTGCAATGTAAAGGATATTGATACGGGAGCATTCAGCAACATGCTAGAATTACAACATCTTAATATTTCCTACAATCGCCAGCTAGGGTTTGTATCCCTGCCTAATGTAACATATAATTTGAACAAAACTAGGATAAAATCTTTAAATATTAATGGAATTAACTGTGCAGCTAGAGTTGGAACAGAAATGAAATGTCATCATCTTCTTTCTCTCAAAGAAACTAACCTTACCGAATTATATGTACCCAGTAACCGATTGGAATATTTTGCTCGAGGAGTTTTACGAAATCTTCCAAAAACCTTAGAGATATTATCGGTGGCCGAAAACAAAATGACAATTGGTCCATTTTTTCTAGAATTTAGCACGAGTATTCAATGTGAGCTTTCAGAGGTATCCACCAAATCCCATTGATGCAATTGAAAATTATTGTAGAGAAAAAGGCGAGTTGTGTAATGATGCTGTTTGTAGTTGCCAAAAAGATTTAAATCACCAAACTCCAAAAGACATCGAACGTAACTGTTATATTTCCAAAAAAAAATCTAGAAGAAATATATGCTTACTCCAGTCGACTTTTTGGGATGGATAATAAATATTTCATCTTTGCGCCGAATCTCCGCATCGTAAATTTACGGGATAACGTTTTGCACTCTTTGGAAGGTCCTCTTTATATTCAACAAACAAATACCAAATTAACATTAGACATTTCAAACAATTTTATCTCCCACATATCCTCGTATATACTTAATGATTGAGGAAAAGTCCTGAATTTAAATGTATCCCACAATGACATTGGCAAAGATGTGGAGAAAGATGAAATGGGTGAAACGCTCAAGTCTTTTTTATCTCTTGAGACTTTAGACATTTCGTTCTGTAGAATTTCCAAACTTCCAAACTTATTGCTGAAAAATTCTTCAAGGCTAAAGTATTTAAATATCAGTGACAACCAGATATCAATATGGAATTTAAAAATTGATCACATGACAAATTTATTATTAATAGCTCTATCACAGAATCGGATAAGATCTTTTGATGAAAAAACCCGCGAACATTTGGAGAATGCCTTTCGAAGATCTAAGTTAATCGTGGATCTTTCCGGTAATCTACTAGGCTGCTCCTGTGATGATGAAAAATTTCTTAAATGGTTGAGAATAAATAGAGCTAATTTTGTGAATATTCAGCAATATCAGTGCTCACCAGAAAAACTGAAATTTTCATTTGAAAACCTGGATTGGTCCATTTCTATTTTAGAGAAGAACTGTAGATCGTTTTTGACTTGGTATATAGCAGGCTCTGTTTCACTTGCTGTACATGTATAAGCTTATTGACAGGAGTTTTACTGGTTAGAAAAAGGTGGAAGATTCGTTATATCATTTACAAAACTAAATTAAAATTTCGAGTTGGGAACAAACACAATGACTGAAATTCTACTAATTTAAACTATGAATATGATGTCTTCCTATCTTATGCTGGTATGGAGAGAACATTTGTACGGAGAGATGTCATACCTCGGCTAGAAACCAACGCTGGATTACGTCTTCTTGTAAGAGATAGGGATTATCTCCCAGGCTTGTCTAAAGTGGATTCTATTATGACTGGAATTCATGAAAGTAAAAAGGTTCTTTGTATTGTTTCCAAAAGATATTTAAAGTCAAAATGGCGTGACTATGAGCTCAACATGGCTAAAGTGGAGGAAATCAAGGATCGTGAAAACACAGCTTTTGTTATTTTGATCTTGTTATCAGAAGTGTACAACAGTGGTTATCCCAGTAAAGTTATGGGCCTTGTGAAGAAAGACTGTTTTATTGAATATCCAGAAGAATCCTGCGCTTATGATGACTTTTGGAAGAAACTGATCAAAATGTTAAGGAATGATTAATCAAAAGATTTTTGTATGGAATACATAATTTTAAAACATATCTATTATTACACAGATTTGATTATTCGAAAATTGTTTATGGAAGTGATGTCCATCAAAAACCATGCAAACATGGAACAATTTTTGCAAATGTTCTGATATTGTATTTCACAACTTAATCGAAGTTTAATAGATTACTCTTAATTTGTTTTTGAACAAAAACAGATAAATTATAGAAAAAATTGTTTTAGAGTGATATTACCATCGTTTAATTGAAGCATTCCGTAAGAACGAAGGTCCACATAATAACCTTGTTAGCAAATATGGCTATCATAGGGTCATATTTAAGCTTAAGTGTTTTATACCAATTGTTGGGCATTTGATTTTATCGTTAATTTGAAATTAAATGTTTTCTCTACCTATTTATCTCAAAGGACTCATGGATGTTTTATATGGTCAACAGGGGATGCTCACTGTTCCGAGGCATCCGATCCTTGGAACCTGTGGAATTTGATGGAATTTGTGTTTCTGTCCTGTATACAATTTATTGTTAGTTGGTTTTTGAGATAGATCACTGTTCGTTATCTTTACCTTTTCATCTGGACATAGTACTTGAACTATACAAAATGCAACTGTATTTATACTTGTATATATTTTCCAGATTTTTATTAAAACAATATCCACTTTTATTATTCCACAATCTTTTGATTTATTTCACATGAAATCATAATCAATGATTTCATATACTGAAAGAAAAAAGGAATATATTGATATGAAAAGTTAGCATTTATAAGTTATATGTGATGCACTGATCGCAAAATACAGTTTATGTATTTGATGCATATTTGCATCGTTAAACTTCATTTTGTAAGACAGTCAATGAGTGAGGAGTGGATATCAGAGTTTGAGCATTTAAAGTTTCAAAAGTCAATCTTTAGGGTGTTCTCATCCCGCATTCATTCACAGTAGCTGGTATCGTAAAATAATTATAAGATGTTTTACACTCCGAAAAGGTATGAGATTCTCACCTCCATACGTGCCAGCCTCAACTCACAGGTGACGTTTGAAAATGGATATGAAATTTGAATTCGTATCGTCATATAATTGCTAAACTGTGTTGAAAAGCCTGACAATATGTAATATGTTTGATGCCTGCCTTAGATTGAGGTCATTTTTTCTTTAAAGATTAAAGATGACATCGCAGCATTCATCAATTTCACTTGCATTCTGAAAATTGTTCCCACATTATTGATGAAACAAAAACAAAAACCAAAAAAAAACCAAAAAAAAAAAAACACTAATCTCGTTTGAAGTCGTCATTTTGTTATAGAGTCTATACAATGGCCTTGTCAGCAAATACACTTTAATATTAATCTAATTGTTAAGTGACGTTTTTTATGCTAATTTTTTTGTCCATTATTTCCAAACTGAATTGTCGACGGAATTTTTCGTTAATTCCCATCATGACAAGGAAGACACGGTTGGTGTGATCCATTGGAAGGGGATACTCAATTCTCCATGACACCTGATCCCACCTCTGAAATCTTGGAGATGTGTGAAAACTCTGTAGCAAATTAGTAATATCTAAAGTACATTAAGCTTGAATACTGTTCGTTTCCTCTAAATGTTTCATTGATAACACGTATTTTTTTCTCCGAAAGCGGTTTTGCTACTGTATATGGAAACATCCGCTCCTTGACGGTGGGGTGGTTGTTTCTGCTCCTTCTAACAATGAATTTTCGTTCTAGTCTCGACGCAGTTAATTGATCTGGAACATATAAAACCGCTCAACAATTTCATTCTGATGATGGTGTTGCATTATTAAGGACAGATGATACAAACAATTTTTTTCTTTGGATGAGACTTAAGATTATGTCACAAGTTAAGAAAAGTGGATAATTCTTAGAATTTTTTTCTCATAAGACGTGAAAAATGAAATAGACTTTGAAAATTTTATGAGGAAAAGCAAAATGACAAGAAATCAGCAATATCATATATGCTGATTTTTACCACTTTGCTTTTCCTGATCAAATTCACCTGGCTTGGTAAACTCTTCTAATGTTTATATTACACTTTTAGCACCAATATAACATATTCTAAAATTTGTTTTCATCTGTAAACCTTTACTGAGTGTGTTTTGTCCATATTTGCTTAGGTGGAAAATTTCTATGAATTATCCACTTTTCTAAACTTGTGACATGATATTAAGTCCTTCCAAAGAAAAAAAATTGTTTGTATCATATGTCCTTAAGGTAATAACCAGACCTCATAGATGTTTAGTGAGACGTATTATCTTTGAGGGTCAACATATGTTCAAATTGTCATCGGGTATTTTCAAAATCATCACTGGGAAGTGTGAAATATGTTTCGTATATACCTCAATTCTGAATACATTGCTATCAACCTTGTAATAAATAATAAATACAAAACTTCAGTGAGAAATGAAGTGGGTTGTTATGTGATCAAATGATATGATATTCGGCATTTTCGTGATTTGACCACTTGACTCACACATTTCTTTTCCCAGTAAGGTTTTTAAACTTGTTATATATGTATTTGTTTCTTAATTGATTTTCAAATTTTATATAAATCACTTTATTTTTACTATATTTCTTTTCCCTAGACGATGATAATTCTAACTAGTAAATAATTCAAGCATCTTATTTGCCTACTCTTTAACATGATATTTCCTTAAGTGTTTTTATTGCATAAGAAGATATTGACGTAACCTATTTTTTTCTCAAAAGAATGAATGTCGTGCGTACTAATCAAGGCTGCGGCGGACCTAATTGGGAAGAAGAAATAAGAAGCATTTTTTTTTACCCAATGGATGAATATTAATGACATCGTTTTACTCGACAACTTCATTTTACACAATACATTACAGGTCAATCTACGATCCGATATTTTTGAAATAGGCTCAAAAACAAGTGATAAATATTTTCTTTCAATGAAAAAAATCTAAAAGTTGAAGCTAATTAAGAAGAACTCAATGTTATTTGTAACTTGATGTTGTTAACTAAATCATGAACATAATAAAATGTTATCTTTGCCACGTTCAGAGCACCAGAGCTTCGGGGATAAGGAGAACAAGCAGCATCGCTTATGTACATAAATGGACAACAAAGGGTTTAGTTTACAGTTCAATACCTGTGAACACTTGATATGTGTTTTTGACTCGGGAATTCACCTAATAATTTTATAAACCCATAGTACTCCGAATAATATGGCATGAAGTAACCATGTTGTCTTTTTAAGTTATACAATGCATTAGCATAACTTTCATTAAGAGAGTCATCATCATCAATTCTTAGCTTTTAAAAAAGATTGGAATATCTTCATCAATCTTAATTAAGTTCCTTTATCCTCTATCCTCTTTATCCTCTTAACCAAATGTGATGGTAATGAAAATAGCCATTCAGATGATGGAAAATCCCGTCGGTCTGATAAAAGTCTCAGAAAAAATATACGTCTCAGGACCGATAGAACCGGTACTCTTGGGATGCTTTCAACTGTTAGGCACTTAATCCTCGCTGCTTTTGAACTCCTTGTAGTGAATTTATTTCGATGTTCACAAAATTATATTATTTGTTTTTTGTTTTTTGTTTTTTTTTTGTTTTGTTTGTTTGTTTGTTTGTTTGTTTGTTTGTTTGTTTGTTTTTGTTTTTTGTTTTTTTTTTTGAATATCGGCTTTTCTTTTCATTTTTGGTCATTTTGACTGATACACACGTTTCCGTCGATAAATGCGCATGTATTTAGAATTAAATTAATCTCACAGAGAGGAAATGCTTATCGCACGATTACAGAGTTGTGGAAAAATGAAAACAAAAACAAAATTTGTACAAAATTCGGTCTCCATTTCCAAGTCCTCTTCCGTTTTCTTTTAATTTTGCATATATATACTAATACTATAGATACAACCGCTTTTGGGCAGGTGACAATGCTAATTCAGCAAAGTGAACGTAATTTTTTTAAAAACATTTATGCATTCTGGAATTATGTTAACCTAGAAAAAGGGTTTAAAAATTGCAAAAAAAAATTGCAGCACCGATAATAAAGATGTCAACACGATCGGTGAAAAAACAAAATCCGTGACAGTCGGAAGTACTAGATTTACTGCTTTTCCCCACCTGTGCTTGAATTGTTTCTGTTGAAATTTTTCATATTTAGCTCGTCTTTATCATTTTCTTTAATATGTTTTCTACCTAATGCTGCCCCAAGTGTAAATTTAATAGGTCACGAGAACCATGCTCGTTTCGCTTTCATTTACAGCCTCGATCTCGTTTGAAGAAAAGGTATTTTTTTACGCAATGGCATATAAGGTACGATGATTTTAAAAGATGGGAAATACACAGATGATTAATGGAAAAACAAAAACTTTAACCAAAAAAGGAGCCGGTCATTTGGACCAACATTGATAGAATTTTTACCGGTCATGCGAATTTTTTGCCGGTTTTGCCGGCATGCATCACCGGCAGTTTTCCACAATTCTGAGTCGATTTATCAACTAATAAGAAACAAGAGGCCCACGGGCCTTATAGGTCACCTTAGTATTGTGTAACAACTTTCAAACAATTAAATTTGGTTGAAGTTTTAAACCAGAGGCCATAAAATTCACAATTTTGAAAGAGGCACCATTGCTTATCATAATTATTAACTTAGCATGCTTACTCTATTTATTTGTACCCAAAAGTAGATCAAAGTATCAAAGAGAAAATGCACTTCCACTTTATACCCAGTTGTGCACCTCACCCCCAAAAGAACCACTGACCCAGGGGCAACATATTTCAAAATTTTGCAAATTTTATCATAAAATGGTTGATTAATACCAAAAAGCATAAATTCAAAGCATTAATTTATTTTCAGACTAGGTACCACCCCCCCCCCTCCCCAGAGGGGCATAAAAAACCGTTTGCTAGATGCACCTTTCTTCATCATAAATATATATACTTGGATCATTTGCATAAAACCCAGAAGTAAAGGAAAATATTTGCAAAAAATTAATGTATTTTTACTATATAATCAATAGAGCCCCGCCCTAACACCAGAAACCCTGACCCTGGGGCCATAAAATTCACAATTTTATAGGAGGCACTCTTGCTCATCATAACTATGTACTAAGTTAGTTTATTTAATACCCAGAAGCAGAGAAGAAGATTTTCAAAGAATTTATGCATTTTCACTATATGATCTATAGAGCCCCGCCCTAACACCATAACCCCTGACCCTGGGGCCATGAAATTCACAAATCTAGAAGAGGCACTCTTGCTCATCATAATTATGTACTTAGTAAGTTTATATAATACCCAGAAGCAGAGAAGAAGATTTTCAAAGAATAAATGCATTTTCACTATATGATCTACAGAGCCCCACCCTAACACCATAACCCCTGATCCTGGGGACATAAAATTCACAAATCTGGAAGAGGCACTCCTGCTCATCATAACTATGTACTTAGTTAGTTTATTTAATACCCAGAAGCAGAGAAGAAGATTTTCAAAGAAATAATGCATTTTCACTATATAATCAATAGAGCCCCGCCCAATCACCTGAACCCCTGACCCTGGGGCCATGAATTTCACAATTTTGGTAGAGGACTCAATGCTCAATACATTCATGCCAACAGTTTGCCTGCTTGAGGTCCAGGAGTAAAGAAGAAGATTTTTAAAGATTGCAATAATTTTAGTGGCTTTGGCCCCACCCCTCAGGCCCCAGGGGGGCGGGGACCATGAAATTCATAATTTTTGTTTCCATTAACCCATAGATGCTGCATACCAAATTTGGTTGAAATTGGTTCAGCGGATTCAGAGAAGGAGCTGAAAATGTTCAAATGTTAACACACGAGGCACGACGACGGACGAAAACGGATAGCAATAGGTCACCTTGATATTTTTAGGGAAGTTTACAGAGCAATTATGTCATACCACCTGCTTGAATTGTCACGTCAACAGAGTTTTCTTGGTTACACTCAGGTATACAACGCCATTTTTGAAGTAGCGCCGCCTGGGTATACATGTACTATGTCTTAAAAAAACATTACCAATTAATTTTTTAAAAAATATATAAAACTTGACTCTTTAGGATAGAAAAGTTGATGCCGACTCAATGTACTTAAATTTATTGATGTACCTTAAGTGGTTTTAATGTTATTTTATGGAGCTATTAAACGAACTTCTTTATAATCCCTCGTACAAGGTGTATGTAAATGGTGTTTTATTAACGGCATCCATGCTTTCGAGTTATATTTAGTTTACCTCCTTCACTAATATTATGTCCTTACATAGCGCACAACACATATTTGTCGAGTGATCATATCCCAGAAGTAAGTGATTCTAATATACTAATATTAAACTTTTCTTCTTCGGTAAATTCTTTGAAAAACTGATATTTTAAAAACAGACATTCATATATATTTTTATCATTGGAAAACCTAAACTAACAAGCTTTCATCAGATGCTGATTGATATTATACTGGTAAATTTTGTGGCACGAGTAAACCTCTGTCCTAAAAACGTTCTGAAATATGTTTATAAACTTTATCTAGGGCACATAAGATAAACAAAGCATGTTAGAAATATCAGAATGAAACTATTAAAAAACGCTTACAGCATGAAGTGTTAAAACTACTAGTACATGTATTATAACATTTAAACTTCCTCAATGATAACCGAGCACTTGTTTAACTTTTAGGCGGACAAGTGAAGTGAGAAATCATTTACAGTGGCCACACTTAAAAGCAGACAAGATGTAGGACGATCCATGCAATAGCTATGATGGCTACCAAGTCATCAATTATCTGTTTTGTTCTGTCTTTATTAATAGACTCTCTTCTAAGTGAATTAGTTCAGAATCATTTATGTTGGTTCGGGAACATCGAGTGTTTATGTTTTCATTATGAAAAGGGAATTCGTGTCAATTGTTCGAGACGGAATCTCAGTGTTATACCAGTTATAAATGACAGCATCACGTGGTTAGATCTCAGCAACAACAGGATCAGGACTATTGATTCAAATAGCACAAAATTGCCAGAAAATCTTATTTATCTCGATATATCTGAAAATAACTTAACAACTTTAAAAGGAAATCCATTCAAGCATTTAACAAAACTTCAAGTTTTGAACCTCCAAGGGAATCAGTTCGATTATTCAGCTCACGAGAAACTATACGAAACACTGTCGGCCTTAAAAGTTCTGAACATAAAGGGAAATAAAGTCGACTTGAAAAACAAAATAATCTTTCCAGGAGATGCTTTTGCAAATCTTTCTTCAATTTCAACTGTTAAAATGAATGGAAGAGCAAACACAAAGTTTGGGAAAAGTTTCTTGAATTTAAGGAATTTAAAGTTTTTAGATATGTCGGGGTTCGAAAGCAATTGTTTTCTTGAACATATTGATTCAAAAATGTTCTCCAATTTTCAATTCCTTGAGGTTTTGGATGTTTCCTACTGCAACGTAAAAGATGTTGATAAAGGATCGTTTAGCAATATGACAAAATTACAGTATCTTAACATTTCATATAATCGTGAACTAGGTTTTGCATCTATGCCTAACGTGACTTACAATTTGAACAAAACTAATATAAAATCCCTGAGTATTAACGGAGTTAACTGTGTAGCCGGGGTTGGAAAAGAACTGAAATGTCATCATCTTCTTTCTCTTAAAGAAACCAACTTAACAGAATTATATGCAGCCAGTAACCGATTAGAAATCTTAGAACCAGGAGTCCTAACCAATCTTCCAAAAACTCTCGAGATATTCTCGTTGGCCGAAAACAAGTTAACGTCTGGACTCTATATACTATATTTTGATTTGCTGGGAAACTTGCGAGTATACAACTCTAGCTTTCAGAAGCATCCTCCAAAGTTTCCTTATTCCATTGTGGATAACTGTAAAGAAAAGAGAGAATCTTTTGATGTTGTTTCCCATTGCCAAGAAGTTGCAAATGAACAATCTCTTAAACTTAATGGACGTTGGAAAAACTTTACTGTGCATTTTCCACGAAATCTGGAAGAAATTCATGCTTACTCCAGTCGACTTTATTTTAAGATTCCAGCGTTTAATATCTCTGCTCCGAGTCTCCGAATTGTAAACTTACAAGATAACATTTTGTACTCTTTGGAAGGTCCTGTTCACATTATACCATCAAATAACCAAATAACGTTGGATATTTCGAATAATTTTTGCTCCCACATATCCCCCTCAGCATTTAAAAACGGTGCACAACTTCAAACTTTAAATATATCCCACAATGACATAGGCCAAGATCTGGAGAAAGATGAGATGGGCAAAACGTTTGAAACTTTTGTTTCTATTGAGAACTTAGACATGTCATTCTGCAGAATTTACAAACTTTCAAACCTAGTGCTGAAGAATTCTTCTAAGCTTACGTATCTTAATGTAAGTAACAACCAAATATCAAGATGGAATGTAAAAATTGATCATATGACAAAAATATCTTTGATAGACCTCTCTCAAAATCGGATAAGGTCATTTGATGAAAAAAATCGCGTACATTTGGAGAAAGCCTTTCGGAGATCAAATTTATTGGTCGATCTTTCTGGCAACCTTTTAGGTTGTTCGTGTGATAATCAACATTTTCTGAAATGGTTGGGGATAAACAAAGCTAATTTCTTGGGTATTCCGCATTATCAGTGCTCATCTAATCAATTACCATTTTCATTTAAATATTTGGACAGTTCTATAACCTCATTAGAGAAGAACTGTAGATCATTTCTGACTTGGTACATAACAGGATCTGTTTCACTTGCCGTATGCATCAGCTTGTTAACAGGAATTTTGCTTGTTAAAAACAGATGGAAGATCCGCTATATTGTGTACAAAACGAAACTGAAATTCCGATCCAGAGACAAATTAAATGTAGAAAATTCCACAAGTCTAAACTACGAATACGACGTTTTTCTATCTTACGCTGGAATGGAAAGAACATTTGTACTGAAGGAAGTCATACCTCGGCTTGAAACCAATGCTGGATTACGTCTCCTGGTAAGAGACAGGGACTATCTTCCAGGGTTTTCAAAAGTGGACTGTATTATGACTGGAATTCACGAAAGTAAGAAAGTTCTCTGTGTTGTTTCAAAACGCTATTTAAAATCAAAGTGGCGTGACTATGAGCTAAACATGGCAAAAGTGGAGGAAATTAAGGATCGTGAAAGCACAGATTTTGTTATTCTTATTTTGTTACCGGAAGTTTACAACAGTGGATATCCAAGTAAGGTTATGGACCTTGTGAAGAAAGACTGTTTTGTTGAATATCCAGAAGAGCCATGTGCTTTTGACGACTTTTGGGAAAAACTAATTAAAATGCTGAGGAATGATTAATCGAAAGTTTCTATGCAATATTTCATTCCAAAGTACAATTGTTTCGACTGGTCTTATCATTCGAAAATGTATGCAAAATAAAAGCAATATTCTAGAAAGTCTTAGCATAAACATTTTTAGGGGAAAAGATAGTTCTAAGTAGCAAATGAATATGCGTATGAATAAATTTGGGAAAGATTAATAAATTTATGTGTTTCTTTCATCGGTTTATAGATAACAATGGTATGCAAAGATTTTTTTCGTTAAATTATCGGTCAAATAGATAGAAATATTTCAGCAATATCAGTAAACATCTTTCTATAGAAACTTAACTGTAAGTATTTGCAGTAATGTTTTTAAATTAAATTTGATTTCCCCCCACACTCTCTGAAAGTATATGAGCCAATTTTCACCAAACCAACAAGAGCGTGCTTTTAATATTAATTCTAAAACCTAACCAGGTTACTGACAAAGATTTTGATTTCAAAGGGATTTTGACGACCTCTTTTAAAGTCAGTAACCACTATTTTCATTATAAAACTATGTTAGCAGAGATATCATATCATTTTGTCATACAATCGATTTCACACAGGTGGTAATATGTTTTCTTCAGGGCGAAAAGTATCATTATGATCAGTGAACTATAAAACCAAAAATAGGTAAGACCAAGAAAATGATTGACATTGATCTTCTCAATGGAACGTGTTCCAAGAAGGATATGGAGATAACGACCAACCTTTATTATCAAAGTCCATAAAACAATATAAAATAGGTGCAGAGCAAACACGGACCTCCGAAACATCAGAGGTGGGATCAGGTGCCACTATTCTTCACTGACGTGTTTTGTATTTGTAAGTCTTCTTATGCATAGTAATCGATTTTTCCTCATAAAACGTACTTAAATTACAAATTTTAAATACCTTTTAAAAATGTCAAAATTATGACCTATTAAAGAATATCAATTCTAACAAAAGTCTCTTAAACTTTAAATGATTATAAAATCCTTGTAGTTTAAAGTCATAAACGTAACCTCTTCGTTTAACATGACCCTATCCTAGGGTTTTGTGTGGAAATTAGAAAGGGGTGTAAACTCGTTTTTTTCAAAACACACTGTATTAAAAAGAGCACCGTTTTTACTATTTTTAAAAGTCCATTGTTGAACGAGGTTACCCCTTCCACAAGGTTCTCTCCTAATTTTCGCAGCAATTGTGCCTAATACATTTGACTTTAATGAATATTAACAACTCTACAAATTATAGATTAACTCACTTAACTTATTTTTGCAATTTTCTAAAAATCAGATAACTTATCCATGAAATTTTCTTGCATTTTCAGTATAAAGGGCACTAAATTGACAAGCTCAAAAGGTCAAGCAACATCAAAAGTTGATTTTAATACGAAGGAAAAAAAATAAGCGATTAGGCTTCACCCCATTTCCTACGGCCATGGATGAGACAACGTCTTAATCTTCGATTTATGCTGAATTCTTTAAATTGTTTTGCTCGTAGAATTTTGGAGATCGATCACTGCTTCAATCATTAATTATACCTATTTTATGCCGGGAAATGTACTGCTTATTAATTATACCTATTTTGCGGGAAATGTACGAATGTAGAATAAACCAGCATTATGTTTCAGTTTTATATGAGTGAGGTATACAGTAAAACAAAGCTCTAAACAGGCCAAATATTGTATTTCTTTTTGAGCTGATTTTTCCATTCACAAGAAATTGCAATTTAAAATATGTGGACATGCATTAATGAGGTTTTAAGTTCGTATGCAAGGTCGTGTAAGGTAAAACAAAAATGGTGTTAACTTTATACTTGAAAGAAATATGTATTTATTCATGTACATGAATTTGACACCCTTATCTCAAAATCTACCCCTAGTCCAATGTTTACTTGAATTGAAGAAACGTTTATAACACTGTAAGTCAAAGATCAATAGTGTTTAAATTCATGCATGAAGTTTAAGCTCTCGAATGATGGCAAAATTTTATATGTTTAGAAGACAATCCATTGCATACATTATGCGTTCATTTGTAACTTAAGTTAATTCAATGTAGCATACTAGTGCTTTAAAGTTAAAAATTGATAGCAGGGACACAAGTGGAGCATTCATGTCCAGTTCCCTTAATCAATTCGATATTGTCGACATCGCAATGTTGACAATGTTGATACGATATCGTGTATACATTGTCTACATTGATATTGTTTCTACATATCAACAATGTCAACGTCGACTTCGCAGTGTAAACAATGTTTACATCGTCTACATTGTTATTGTTTCTACATGACGACATCGTTGACATCGCAATTTTGACAATGTTGATACGATATTGCGTTTACATCGTCTACAGCAAGGAATTCAAATATTGAGTATATTCAAGTTGCTTCTAAACATGTAAAATGTAAATATAGGGAATGTTTTAAGTTTAGTGTGAGTTATTGGTGTGTGAATCACAAAGACTTGCACTTAGGTATATTTTTCATGAAGTGCTTGCATTGCGATGTCGACGATGAACGATGTAAACAAGATTTTGAAATGGCAATGTTGACACGATGTCGACTCGATATCGACCAACATTGTGATGTCAATGATGTGATTGATGTAAACAAGATTTTGAAAAAGGCAATGTTGACACGATGTCGACTCGATATCGACCAACATTGCGATGTCGACGATGTAAACTTTGACAACTGATTAAAAGATAGAGGAAAAAAATATTTTTTTTCATTGTATTTTTCATGGCTTGTATTATTAAACAGTCAATCAAATCATCTGATAATCTATGTTCATGCGCTATTTCAAATTCCACAATCTGTTAATTAAAAGTCATCAAGTCAGCTTATTTGTTCTTGTAGTAATATTACGTCAAATTCAGTGTCTATGGTTGCTTCCTGATACACTATTATATTGTTCTCTTTATAAGTTATTTTTAAGTGCTCTACTTTAATTATTATGTAATAAGATTTAGAATACTTTGTATAATACATTTTTACAGACGTAAAAATATAAACGAAAAGAAACTGTCAACAACAGTTTACAATACAAACTACGACTTCTCATTGATTTTAGGTCCAATGTGTAAAAATCTTACTACAATTACTGAAAATTTTAAATGAAATAGGATTCAATGTTTATATCAATTTTGAATATAATGAACTGCATTTTATTGAAACATAAAATTAAAAGGAACAGGGAGGAAAAAAGAACTTTTAATTTGAAGGAAATATTTCACGGTTTTTAAGTCCCAGCCTTTGAGATATCCGTTTGCTTTCCTGTAAATATATTTGTATGCTTGTTTGATAATTCCTGTTTTATTGTTTTCCCTCTATCTTGAGTCTAATTATTTTTTATCTAATTAATCATCTTTGATGACCAAAAAGACATTAGCAACACAATAACAAATAATTACTTCCATAGGGAAGTCGTAAATGTTTAATTCCGGTTGAGGATTTATAATAATTCTTTTTAAAGTCCCGTCATCCATTTAAGCAAAAGATGACAGAATAACAGCATCGTAAACGATCTGATGTTTCAAACTGGAATAAAATCGTATTGCTTTGGATGATAATAAGTGTTTTAAGATTGTGATTATTAATACTGTTTCCATGTAGCAGCCCACTTTTGTTTAGCAGCCCACTTTTTTCCGGTATGATGGAAAGCATTGTTTACCTTTGTATTCTGTTAATGTACACAAACATTGATGCACATCGTGATCCGACTCAAAAGTGTACTTATATTAAGGAAAGAGATGGAGTAAAAGTAAATTGCTCCTCCCAAGAACACAAAGCCGTGCCAGATTATTTATGCAAAAATAACCAGACTTTGAAAACTGTTTCCAATAGAACAATAACTTTTACCCCGAGGCAAATTACAGAGCTGGACTTATCAAACAACAGTATGAAAAATTTATCTCATAACCCATTTTATTGTCTGATGAATTTAAAAGTCTTAAATCTCGAAAGAAATGGAGTGAAACTTTCAAATGAAAATTACTACACAGGATTGTTTTCGCCTTTGGTATCCTTGCGCAATCTGAATGTCAAACGCAACTCAAAAGACGGAATCATAAATGACACAGTTTTCGGAGAATTGACCAAATTAAAAGTGCTTCGCATGGACACACCCAATGGAACCGTTTTTGGAGAACACTTTTCTCAGTTAAAGAAGCTGTATAATTTGGATCTTTCAGGAGTAAATGGATACTGTTATATTAGACGGATTGAAAATTCAACTTTTCAGTACTTTCCATATCTGAAAAAATTGGATCTCTCTGCGTGTATGATTAAAAATATTGATGCTGGGGCTTTTGGTTTTCTTGAAAAATTATCAGAATTGTTTCTTTCCTACAACCTAGAATTAGGATTTGCAGCTTTACAAAACATAACATATAATCTACGATATACAAAGATAGAGAAATTACATTTGGAAAATATCAGGTGCTTTAGGGGACCTGACACAGAACTTTATGAGGGTCATTTAAAATACCTTTCAAATACACCTTTAAAAGAATTAAACCTAGCAGGCAATCGGCTGCAGTGGATTGGAAAAAACGTCTTACGTAATCTTCCCAAAACTCTCCAAACACTATCCCTGGCAAATAACAGACTATCCATTGGAGTATATGCCTTTGATTATCGATTACTAAAAGAATTGAAAGAGATGAATGTTAGTAATCAGCTGAACTTATTAAAAGCAACAGCTATACTGTTTCAGAAGTGTGACGAGAATCCAGACATACTCCCTTGCAATTGCACACCAGGCGCGCAAAATCTCCAAAAGCTCTCAAGCACTCTTCCATATGAAATTAATGAGAGAGAGGATTCGTATTTGAAGTGCGAAGAAAGAAATATTAATTTTGGACCAGCAATAATTACGTTTTATCTACCGCCAAAGCTTCAGGTTTTGTATTGGTCGTCTAGTCGTTTGTTTGGAACTTTAGGTCAATTTGGAATTAATGCAACCCTTCTCAGAAAGATCTTTATGCAAGACAACATTTTATACTCATGGATAGGTCCAATATATGGATCGGATTCTGTAGAAGAACTTGATCTCTCTCGGAACTTTTGCTACAATATTTCAGCAGAATTTTTGTAACATTTTTCTGGTTTGAAAATATTAAAACTGCGAGAAAATAATATTGCAAAGAGTTTATCTTCGGATTCTCAAGGATTAATGTTCAGAAATCAGAAAAACCTTGAATTCCTAGATTTATCTTATAATGATATTGAATATCTACCGGGGAAAATATTTAAAAATGCAATAAACATTAAGCAATTATTGTTGCAAGGTAATAGACTATATAAGTGGGGAGTGAAAATAAATCATATGAGATATTTAATATTTCTAGATATCTCAGGTAATCGTTTAGAGACGTTTACTCCTGTTGACATAGAACACCTTAATCAGCATTTTCAATCCGAAAATCTAACTGTGGACTTAAGCAATAATCGCCTTTCTTGCACCTGCGAAAACATAAATTTTCTACTTTGGATTGTAAGATTTTATTCTCATTTTCAAGACTTCAACGAATATTTTTGCTTGGATGAGTCTATCCATGTAGAAAATCTTCAGAAATCATTGTTTATCTTAAATAAAAAGTGTAAATCCTATCTGATTTGGTACGTAATCAGTTGTATTGGATGTACTTTAATGGTCACCATTACCGCATGTTACTTGATTTACAAAAATCGCTGGAAAATACGTTACATACGATATGTGGCAGGAAAGAAAGTAAGGGGGTATCATCGTCTTCAATCGAGTTCTAGCATTGGGGATTTCGAATATGACGCATACATATCATACTCCGCAAAAGATGTATCGTTTGTAAAAGAAGATATGATACCCAACCTTGAAGATAAGAGTAGTGGTCAAATAAAACTAGCAGTAATGCATAGAGATATGGAGCCAAGCGGAGATCATGCAAATAATATCATGGACTACATCAGTCGAAGTAAAAGAACCATTTGTGTAGTCACTAGAAAATTTCTGGAATCGGACTGGCAGGATTACGAATTAAATATGGCCAGAATGGAAGGAGTTCAGACTAGAAAAACACTGAACTTTGTTCACTTGATTCTTATGCCAGATGTATGCAAGTCAAAATATCCCCAGAAAGCCAGTGATTTTATAAAGAAAGGTTATTATCTGGAATATCCCGAGGAGGCTTTTGGACAACAAGTGTTCTGGGAAACTCTAAGACAGGAGATATTGAAAGAAATTGACATTTCAAATTAACAATATTTTGTAAATCGCGTACAAAATTACGTTAACTTTTTTCGAAATATTTATACCATGTTATATGTCAACTTCTTCATAACTTCAAAGTTTCAACATTGTTTTTGCGGTTTATCTATGTCATGTTCAATTTCACAAATTAGTCCTCATCGGAATGATCAGTTAAATTAAAATATTTGTATAAAAGCTGCTGACCACCATGATTTATTTGAAATCGATGACCTGATATTCTTTTGTTAAGCGACCCCTTGGTTTCACCAACATAAACAAGTCCACACAGATTACATTCTATTTCATAGACAACATAAGAAGATTTGCAGTTCAGATTTTCCCAAGTTTTGGTATAGAAGCTCTGTCCAGTAAGATTACTGGTGAAAGAAGTGTTAGTTATCAAAATGTCACAGGTTTTACAGTTTCGCACAGAACATTTGGAAACAGAAAACATGGGATCAGAAAAAGAATAATCCAATATATCTGTAATAGAAATTTTACATTTTTTCAATTTAGTGTATGATGTATTGGTTTCATACCAAAACTGGAAATCTGAAGATTGTACATATGACATATGTTTGATATCCCTGAGGATTATACGAGGGGCACCAAATGAACTCCTTGACTCTGTGACCCTTATAGACTCAAAGGAGTGACGCCTTTTTATACTGGGCGACGCGCCTGCCAGTATCATTTCGTTATTCTGTGTTCTCATGAATGAATAGGTACCGAACGACAAGTATTCTCGGGAACAAACTGTCCACCAGCAGAGATACATGTTCGGTGGTTAAAAGAAGGATATGGAGATAACGAACAGTGTTCAATCTCAAGGTCCATAAAACAATACAAAACAAGAGCAGAGCAAATACAGACCCCTAAAACATCAGAGGTGGGATCAGGTGCCATGGAGGAGTGAGCATCCCCTGCCGACCGGTGTGCCGTGTGCTCCTTGTCATGATCAGGAAATAACGGAAAAGTATCCGTAATTCAGTGTATAAATAATGGACTAACAATTGGTATGAAAAATGTCAGTCAGCATTTGACTCAATGATAAATTGTATTTGCTGACAAGGTCATTGTATCGACCATAGAACTTACGAAATGATGACTTTAAACGAGACTGCTGATATTCTTGTTTCATCAACTTGCTTGTCAATAATTTACCTCGTTTTAGAAATTGTTCATACATAGAGCCTGCTCTTGCGTATCGAATCAACTGAGATATATATACTCCGTATGCAGGTGATGAAGGTATATTGCTGCATAAGTAAGGAAACTTGACGATAGGAAAGTTAAAGTCATCACGTTTATCATATAGCTTGATTGTTAGATTACCATTAGTGTCTTTTTCAAGTAAAATATCCAAGTATGAAGCAGAAGTGTCGGACTCTGTGGTATCTTTTATCTCAAGCTCACCAGGATATATCGTATCAATGGAAATGGAATGGAAATTACCATTATTAATTGACAATACGTCGTCGATATATCTAAATGTTGAGTTGAAGGCCATAGCAAGTGTTTTCAACTATTCCTCATAATTGATTAAAGATTATGCTTTTGATATCGTAGACATCTGTATTTTAATTACTAGTAGAACGGAACTCAGAAAGTTATTAAATGAAAATATCAATGTAGTCTTCGAGGACCAAGTCTTCCAACAAACTGTTGGAATTCTGAGGGGGCACTAATTCTCCTAGCTAACTAAATAACCGAACTCTTTTAGTATTTCCATGACACAAAAAGTTCACATAAGAAGAAATAATCACTTGTCGTTGCTTTCTTTACGACATTCAGATATAAAGTAGACGTACACATGTGATGTATGAATTGACGATAGATTTTTCCGTTATTACCCGATCATTAAAAAGAGCACACTGCGGGTGTGACCGGTCAGTAGGGGTGCTCACTTCTTCATGGCAGCCGATCTCACCTCTGATGTTTTGGATATCCTGCTCAATCTTGTATTGTTTTATGGACTTTTGATCTCGAATACTGTTCATTATCCTCATAAGTTTCATACTATAACATCCTTTTAATATCAGTTTCGGAGTAATATTGTTTAGAATCAGAATGATTTTTTACCAAATAATTTTGTACTTCTGTTCTGATTTAAGAAGCAGTTGTCTCTGGGATTTTTTAATTTCATTTTATTGTGAGGAATATTTGTAGAAAGCATTGAAAAAATTTTAATTCTTAATGTGATGGACTTTAAAATAAAATTGCAAGTCGGTAATTTTATTTCTGCTGGTTTCAACTCTGAGTTACACAGTTTAAGCCTATTTCAGCACATGCTTCAGCCTAAGAAGCATCATTGGGTGAAGGAAAATTTAACTAATTAAAATGACGGGCCAATAGGTATCACAAGGGGAAATCTTGCCAAAAAAGCAAGACCAAAGTTACTCAGGTGAGCTTTGTGGCCCACGGGCCTCTTATTCATCGTGACTTGGGTAAATGTGAAATATGAAATTAAATTCATCTTCAATTTGAAATTGATTAGATAGCATTTTTAATTCATCTAATTTTTTTTTTAAGAATTGAGTTCTTGTCTACCTTGTATTGGATATACCACATCATTAGCAGTAGTTTTAAAAAATCTGGGATTATAAAATCAAAAGCAATTACTTCCTGAATGTTTTTTTCAACATTGCGCAAGATATCCTTGCCAAATAGAAGATATTTATTTGTCATTAAAAATGTCCTTAAAAGTTCATGGTAGACTAAACAACACCAAAAGCGTATAAGCTATCACAGGTGCAACATGGAGGTTATTAAGGCAGGAAACAATTCAGTGCATCAAATTTAATTAAACTTCCTTCATTTCTTAAGAACATAATAGGAGAGATTTTACGGAACAAAAGAAATATACGACTCGAGAAACAAAGAGATGCATATCTTCATGTATGACATCCGAATTTCAAAGTTTCTGCAAACAAAAAATTAATTCAATATTTGTGCCTGTTTTAGCATTCACCCTCATATGATGTCATAGGTTTTTCCTGTTTTTCAAATGAATATCCATTTGTGCTTTTACATAAATATGTAGGGGGGAAGCTTAAAAGACGTTTTAAAAAATGTGAATAAGAAAAAATATTTGTTTAATTTACTCTTATTTAGATTTGAAAAAATGTGCTCACGACATACAGAAACTCTTGCTTGTTTCTTTTACTCCGTTGCAAAATACTAGAGGTATATTGTGAGCACTGAACTCACTTAATACAGGCCGTCTCCCATATAATTTTAATGACTATGTCCATGTTTTCCTAAGCAAAACCTTAAATAAATACGTGTCAAGTCAAAAGATAACTTAGAAGGTGAACAATGGCATTATGTAATAAAGAATCTGTGTAAGTATCATTTAATTTTATTCGGTGGTATAGGATGAGTTGCGAATAAGAGATAGGTACTCGAAGCGTTACAGACGGTAGTACAGACAGACTGACATACGGATGGACATCCCGATCACTATATACCCTTCCACCATTCAAGCAAAGATATAATAAATAAGGAATCTCGGTTATTACGGTCTTATAACCTCGTTCTGAAATGGGATTCGATCCTGAGACGTAAGGATCAACTCCATATTGTAGTGCAAATATGCTTTAACTACCTAACAACACAGTCTATGGTTTTTATCTACATCATGTACGTAATAGTGTTATTATGGATGCAACATACAGGTATTGAAATTTTCTATTATTGATCCAAATGTTTCATTTATGTCTTCTAATACTTATAGGCAACATCACCGCAGCTTGGTTTTGCTAAATTTGTAAACGTCAAATAAAACACTTTGATGTAGATGAATAATGTCATTTATTAAAACGACGGTATAAGTGACAATCAAAACATCGTATGAAAAAGTTAGCAAAAGGATGGTACATCAAAAAAAAAAAAATAGGCAAACATCAATATAAAGAAAAAGTTTGCAAAAAGATTGTACATCATAAGAACAATCAAAACCTCGGAAGAAAAGGTTTGCAAAAAGATAGTAATGAAAACAAAATATATAGAAGCAGTAAAACAATTGAGTAAAAACTACAACAAATATATAATTTTACAAGACACATTAATCATCATATTCACGTATAGGAAACTGGGTTGGAGGTGGTTCTTCAAAATAGACGTGCCTCATGTTAGCGGTGGTCATCGAGCGAGTATGAATGACTTGCTGAGCTGACCACGTGACTTACATCTTCTATTACAATTAATCCAAAAGGCAAGGCGCGGATCTGAGAATTTTCACAATTTGCCAATCTAAATGTTACTGGAAACACCCAAGCAAATTATCACATTAAATACATAAATACATAAGAACTAAAAATGTAAAACTCATTTCTTCTTTGAATTGAGTTTCTTTCTTTAAATTCGTATTATGACTGTATCGTTTTACATCTGCGTTGATAAATATATTAATAATGTATAATCCGTGTTACCCATGTCAAAATTTCCATGTGCAAGAAATTACAGTGGACCTTCAGATATCCGGACCCCAGATCTATCCGGATGCTTCAGTATTTGGACGATTTTTCATCGAGACGGAATTTTAAAATGTTATTTTGCCTTGTTTAACTGGTGATTCGGGTCTCCGGACGCTTCACATATCCGGACAAATTGACTAGGAACCAAAGCGTCCGGATAAATGAGGCTCCAATGTAATCCGTTTAATGTAGTGCATTAATATTTTTTAATTAAAAAATACATTAATAAATCTTTTTTAAGAAGATGATTAAATTATATCGGTTTATGAAGCGTACTCGTATACTCAAGCATACTCTTTATATATGTCTATAACAGTTTCTAATTTCTGTTTTAACATGTATTTCTGTAGGCTCGAAAAACTATATGCTCCAAATATCATTTAAGCATTATTACTAAAAAGGAAATGATTTTTGTTTCATTCCTAGGGGGAATAAGATATATTCAATAAAGTTCGTCAAATATTGAAAGTATATTTCGTCTATATATCTTTGTCTGAAAAGTTATTTTGTCAAAAAAAATAAGAGAAAGAA